CCTGCTGATGTGATTACAGAGCTGTTCGTAACACTGTGAAGCTGAACTGACCATTTAGTTTAATGTGTAACTGCTGTAATTTCTGCTTGCGTGTGGGGATTTCTGTGTGGAGATCTGGATGAACACCAAACATCTGAGTTTCAATTGGCATACTTTTTTTTTTTTCTTCTCATTAGTAGCATGTTTGAGGCACTTGGCTAGAGACTGAAATCCTATTATCTACCCGCAAAAATCAAACCAGACAAAAGGCAGATAAAGCACAGAGTTAAGCATCACTGCTGAATGCCTTTTCCTGGTTTGGCTTGGAGCAGCTCACCCGCTCTCCTCTCATGACGTGGGAACAGCCTGGCTGCAAGAGCAGAACTGAAAAAATACTGCTGAGCTGCAAATGCCTGTAACCCAGCAGGGAGGGAGGACAAGACCCTCAGCTACGCTGAAGGAGAGCAAAGCAGGATGCCTGGGGATGCTCCTGGAGGTTCTGCAGAGTCTTCAGGGAAAAGAATGATTAAAAAATGCAAAGAGAAAAAAAAATCCAAGGGAAAGAAAATCTTTTTTAAAAATCATATTAAAAAATAAGTACCCCCACCATGGCCAGCAAAACCCCAGAGCAACCAGAAATGGGAAGAGATGTGTGAATGAATTACAAGCTGATTTCGCTCTGTTCAAGATCTGCAGCAGAATTCAGAAACTGCTGGCTGAGGGAAGGCAGGGAAGCCGGAGAAGCCACTGTGGTTCCCAGGTCCTTGCCTATGGGACCAGCACAGGAGAAAGCCCCAGCCTCTGTGTATTTGTTAACCAAATGGGATCCAGGCTGTTTCCAGGATCAGCCTCCTGGGATTCCGCCTTCCCAGCTAGTCTGTCCTGCTTCTGCGGCCGGGTCCGCTCGCAGGGACGCGGCGCTTTCCAGGCAGCGCGGCGCACCCTCAGCGAAGCTGTGCCCGGCCGTTGGGCTGGAGCACGGGAGAGACGGCGACCAGAGCTGTGAGACAGGGCTTGTGCCAGCTAGAGAGGAGAACAGACGGGAACCTCTGGTGATCGCTGCGAATTGTTCTAGCAGTTTTCTGTTCCGCGTGTTCATTTAAAGGCCTTTTGCTCCGTTTCTGACTAGGCAGGGGCTCAATGTCTCACCACGGTGACCCTTTTATGTTTTGATAAAGCCATGGCTTTGTTTTGAGTATGTGATTGCAAGGTAAACGCGAAAAAAACCCAAGACAAAACCTTCCATTAAATTATCTGCAGACACGTTCTGTCCCTATCCAGCACACGAAGCCACGAAAAGGCAACGCAATAAATATTCAAAGATAATTTTAATACACGGTGCCCCTAGACCACCTGAACTGGCCTAACCCAGCCGGATCCGCACCGG